TTGAAGAATTCATAGCTGTTCACTATCATCTGCTTCTCTCCTGGGGAATACTCGTGCTTGTCCGACATCGTGCAGTTTCAAAAGGAGGCTTGTGGCTAATTGAAGAGTGCCACTGCCTTCGCAAACCACTAAGATATATATAGCAATTTCATTTAAATGAAACGGACAAATATTAGCCTCGTTACAGCCTGTTCTGTACAGGTTATAATTCCTGGCCCATTGTTCAATGTCGCTTACAATATAGTTGCACCGAATTGGTTTCGAAGGGTATATAATAGTCGCAGTAAATTATTGCAAATAATTGCTACGGTTATTGATATTTCCGACCCAAGATCTAGCGAGCTAGAAAGAAGCTAGTTACCGATGTTGAGTAGTATCAGAGCCTTGTTCACAGCGGAGTTGATATATTACGCGTACTTGTAGCTTTTGAAGGCGTTTCAGCAGTTTTGAATCATGGCTCGGTTGTTCTAGAAGCATGACAATGACAATCCGTATTGCATCCGTCTCCTCCTGGGAAGGCAGTCGCGCCACTTAGCAGCTATTCTTTCGTTAGCTACTCCAGTGCAGTATCTTATTCATTGTCGATGTTCATTGGATCTCGAACTTAAAGACGTCTGGAACAGTCAACAATCTCTCGGTTTACTAGTTACTGATGTCAGCTCAGGCGCGATCTTAGTATGTCAAAACCAATTTAACAGAAGATCACCGACCCCGGCGCTACCCAGCTCGTGTCAGCACGAGTTAGACCTTCTTCTTCGTTATAGCGGATCCTTCGCGGGACCTTGCTGGTGTACGGGCTTCGTTGAGTGCGCTGCAGCAGACCATCGATCAGACTGAGGCTCTGCGCCGCGATTTTTTGGCTACGCGACGTCGCGCGGAGGACCTGATTGGTCAGCTCGCTGACGCGGCCAATGCTGCGTCGCCATACGTGCTCTTTTTTCCAGCACAAGTACGAAGTGGTACATCACCAGCTGGAATCTACTCGAACGGAGATCGTCGAGTGCCTGAATGCACTGCAGGAGTGTCTCGACAACTCCCGCGAGCTCGAAGCTTGCCTCTTCGGTATCATGATTTGCAGCTCCGCTACAACGAAGCCGTGTCTGAGTTCCAAGATCGGATCTCCACTTTGGAGGCACAGCTGGCTGCCGCCTCTTCTTTTGGCGTGATCGTCCCACCCGATACTGCTCGCCGCCTAGCAAATCTGGCGTCCCAGCTCGCGCGGTCCCACTCTGACTTGCAGGTCGCGCGTGATCGCCAGTGTAATGGGCTTGCTACGTGCCCACTACTTCGGCTTACACGTTAGCGCACGTGTATGAGGAAGCGTAGTTTGCTTTAACTTATATTAACTATACTTACGTCTCGTAAGTATAGATTTACTTAAATAAGAAAAGCAAAAGCCGATTTACCGTAA